TCCCAATTGGCAATTACTTAAATTGTTTCCTCAAAATCAAGAGATTTCTTGTTGTAGATAGTATCGTTGATTGCGTAGCTGATAGTTTATCTGCAATCAATGGTCTAACAACGTCCGTATTATCTCGCTATATTTTGACATAAAAGACATACAATGTCCGTTATCCAAAAATTAGACATATTCTAAAAAGTTTTACTCTAAGCAGATCTTGTTCTACTCATACTCACCATCCAGGATCAACAACAGACAAATTTACAAAGGACCATCTAGTCCAAATCCAAACATGTCTTATGGCTACTAATCAACGATATAAATACTTGAATACATTTTTTTGTAAATAAACACATAATCAGACGTAGTCTTGAATAGGTAATACCAGATCTAGTCACAAGTCATGAATACAAATGTTTGTATTGTGCTAGAAATAAAATCCGCAATCATCAGTAGTAAGGCGATGTGTTAAACTGCTAGACCATAGAGATTGCCAGTTAAATTTTAGTACAGTCAGCTTTATGTACTTAATAGAGAAATGACTGTTATCACATGCCCTAAATGGTAATGAAATTTATTACTACAAGGATTTTCTTTATTTATACTACTTATAAAATATAGCACGGGAATGGATATAAATATTTAAAGTTTACATGTTAGTAGATAAATATATAGAACGAATACTCTGCTATCTCAATAAATCTCAAAGTAGGACAATAAAAGGCTGACATATATTCCTTTGTTTATTTCCACTTATTCCGAAATGAGATCTTCAAATCGTAACGTTTCACACTAAGTAATTAAAGGAGATGGAAGTATAATACGGGGAAGTGCGAGTTGGGGAGGAAGCTAACTAATGTTACAAACATAATATAAACGTGGTTAAAATCCGGCAATAATGTTAAAGATTTTTTTCTGACCACACAATTTCAAACGTTATTAATAAAATAAATAACTTAGTACACTTTGCAAATGTGAAAATTAGTAATTTATTGGCTGTAATTGACGTCAAGAAACATGCAACAAACAATATTATACAAGTAAATTTTCCTATCATCGAATTTAACTATAAATGTATTTCATTTCAAAGCATTGTGATATTCGCAATCACAAAATTGTAGCTTTATTTTACTATTTTGCAACGATATCGACAATTCCCTAGAGAAAATCTTATAACAGATACAACTCTGTAAATTTTTAATTTAATTAAGTCATATTGTGTAAGTGCCTCTTGTTTTCTGAATATTGAAATAAAAGTCAATACGGAATTTCAAAGTATAGTAACAATATTATCTTTTCTTTTTTTTAAATTATTATACTCAGATTTACGATTTCAAATAAAATACATTGAAATAATGCGCTATGTTTTTTATTTCTGTGTAAATACAATTCGAATTTAAGGGATTTACTGTTTTGATTATTTTATTGTTGAACCGTCAGTGCAGTTTATTCGCTGTATTTACTTTAGTTCTGATTGAAACTGTATATTCTATATCCTTTTTTATGCCCTATTTTTTGTCTTACGTACTTACATTTTCGAGAATGTCACAGTCTAGTGGTTTAAACCCCGTATTGTGTACACACATATAGTTGCCAGGCTAGACCGTGAGTACACACTGGACATTAAATTTCCTAACCTTAATGAAAGGCGTAAGTATAAAAAATAAGTAAGATGTGATTGCGATGTGATCTTCGGTAATCGATTATAATAACACTGGGATCAAATTGAATCGAACCCCTAGAAACCTGTGGACCCTAATGTAATTGGGTAACTATTATACAAACAGCCCTTTTCAATTTCAAACAAATACTGAAAGTTATAAAATGGTAGCGCCGTGGCATAGTAATACACCATGCTGTCTTACAAACCAACCCAAAGGTCGTGAGTTTGAACTTGACCGACATCAAATAGCTTTATGGTCAATTTTTAATTCTGACTTACTGTGCAGTAATGTAAATACTTATTATGTTATAGGTGTTTTCAATTGAAAACATTTAATCAAATCTGAAAGACAGCGGCAGTTTTATTAAATGATCAGGTGGGATCACTCACCAAAATGTGAGCACGTCAGATGTAGCGTTCACCACATTGTCGACAATGATAATACTTCTATCTATTTCTTCCGATATCACAGACATGAATAGATTTATTATAAGTTAATCAACGTTTAGAAAAATGATGTAACTGACTAATAAACGAGGCAATTATCTGCGTATAAATTAATTACACGGTGTGTGTTATTCGGTAACAATGTTTCGCATAAAACGCGCGCGATTCAGTGAGCAAACACCCGAATGTAAATCTAATTCCGCCTAAGACGACTTGCGAATTTCCCTACGGACAAATTATACTATCGTGTATATACTGACGAAATATAAATCACGTAATTACATGCGTGAAGCACCTAACTGGGTAGGAAATTGCCGTACACGCTGTTTTCGCAGCATAAAACGTCAAACTGATTTTCGAACGATAAAAAGTTGGATTGATGTTATGTCATGTTATGTGTACAAATAAACGTTATTACATATATCTGATATGCTTTGCAAATGTTTCATTTAGGGGTTGAATTGGTTGAAAGTATGCTGAAATAGAAACAATATTTGTGAGTTATACATATTTAAATTCTATGATAATTATCAGTTGATCAATAATGATAGTAGAAAAAATTACAACGAAACTTTCCTTGTTAGGCTTCAAAAATGTAGTTTGAGGAATATGCCAGGAAGCTGTTTTTTTAAATGGCTACTTATGTATTATTTAAACGAGATGTCGACCTATGTCTAGGACGTATGTATTAGTGCGACATATCGGGAGTTCTTTAATAATAGTATCATGTTGAATACATATATAGATTATGTATTTAGTGTAATGTAAATAACCGTAAAAAAAGTTTAAAGTAGTGTTTTTTTATTTAATATTTTAATTTTATCAGAAACTGAAATCTATATTCAGTTACTATTCGACAAACCAAAACATGTAGGTAAAAAGCAAAAATATTGCAGAACATTTTGAACGAGAAAACGCCAATAAAGTGTAATGGGTATGCCATTATCGTTTGTTTTATGACGAATTATTAAGTATCTACGCACCTTTACCTCTCTTCTGTTACAAGTTTAATCTTTTTTACGAGAAAAGAAATTCTCGAACACTTCTGTTCCATATTTTTCGCCTAGGGAAACATTTTCTCATAACATTCGACATGAATCTTATTTGAGGGAAGTTACAATTGTTACTGTTTCCAAAGGAAAAATCTAAATGGATATCTGTTTTGTACCAGTAATTAATTTAATTAATTCAGTATCATTCCACTAGGAATAACAAGATAATCATCATAATATAATAAGAATTATGTTTCCTGTCGTAATTAATTACTTTAAATAACGTCTGTCAATGAATTGGTGACAACACCTATACTTCTGAACTAATTAATGGTAGTCTACAGCCGTCATACTTATTTATGGCGTTGACTTTGTTATGTAACATATTATAGAACATAGACTATAAGATGAATAAAACCAAATGACACCCAATTATTCACATTCGTCAAGTTGTATTAACGAAATCTATGCGTAGTTACATACAATAATTTAAATGAACTATTTAAACTATTCTAATGTTTTTTGCTGTTCTTAACTCACCTTTACAGTTTCATATCAAAAACCGAGTCAAATAAATACAATACTATCATAGGTTGAAAAGAAATTTCATTATAAAGTGAATGTAATCGGTATGTAGATGATGAGTATGATGTACGAGACAATCATTCCTAACATAGCATACAATGCATGACATAAAATTTGTGGTAGTTAATCAATATCAGCTCGTAATCATTGACCATTTCCAATCGTAAACACAGGTTTATCTTTAATGATTCACTTAATCCGACCAATTTCCCCTGTGCTGTTGAGATCAATTGTATTTTTAAGTGCCCCGTTCCGTGGACTTTACAAAGGACCCGTAATGAAACGTCAATCACCGATGTTACTATCGGAAATTCTGAACCAGCCAGAAGAGGGAGGTCCCTCTTCTGGCTGTACTCGTGAAATAAACTTATTTCCTTCTTGACAAAGTATCGAATTGTGAACAATTTATCGAGCGTGCTCCGATTTCTGCGTTCCTAGATTTCACTCTAGCGAAGATTGAGCGGTTTATTGCTATGAAACTATTCTGCCTTAACCAACATCGAGAAGAAATATTTTCTAAATTCAGTAGTTTTATTATTGCCATTTCTTTATATAACGTATTTTTGTGACGTGTTGTAAAGTAGTCCTGAAAGTCATTTAGTACGACTAAATTTATATGTTTAAATTTGACCTACGTCTAATATTTCTCACTTTATTATTTATAGGAATTTTTGTGCACTAAATGTAACGATGACAATCCCATTGTCAAAACCAATCTAATTAAATTAAGGCGATACGATCCAACACTCGTTCTGCCAATATACCGTAGAATATACTACAATAAATATTTAAGATTACTAAAATAAATATTTAAGAATATATATACATATTTGACTTCACCTAGGAACGTATCTCATTTTAAACCAGCCTAATACAGTACTTCCATCACAACCACCATACAATATGCACCATCTGGTCGCATATTGAGTAAAGCGATGGTGTTATTAAAAAGAAGGAAAACTATCCAAGTCCGTGGACAAAATAAACGTCATATATTCTTATTATAAAGTGTATTTTGTACTTATATATATAAGTACAAAATACACTTTATTTAACATAATAGATAAATAAGTAGATAAGTTGCTTCCAGCATCTTGTAACTATCTACTTATATATTACTATCTACTTATACAAACTTAAATTCGTATATTTTATTATATTTGCACCGAATTTCCTCATAATACCATTATGAGGAAATTTAATAACTAATTTTATCTCATATTTAAAACGAAACAATTTGAAGAATTGTTTCGTTTTAAATACCTTAGTTGATTTTGTACTTAAATTACAATTTAGTTCATTAAAAATATGTATTGTTCCAGGTATCTTGGATCCGTAAACGAGATCTACATATCCTGACTGTGGGAGTGCACACATACAGCAGCGATGCCCGTTTCGCTGCCCTCCACACCGACGGCTCTGATGAATGGACGTTGAGAGTAGCGCCTGCGCAGCCTCGCGACTCTGGCGCATACGAATGCCAAGTTTCCACAGAGCCTAAAATCAGTTTGTCATTCCGACTGACTGTTGTTGGTAAGTACATAAATATTTTGTTCCATAATCAAACCCAACTATAATCGGATAAAAGCAACTGAGTACATCAACCATAATCAACTATGGAAACTTTTACGTGACAATCTAAAATTTGATGCCTACATTTCGCTGAATTACTAGAAAATGAATATATTATCTGTCCAATTAATTTAGTTATTATTTTATTAGGATATTTATATTTAACGAACCAATCAAACTAATTGTTAAATACAAATTAAATAAAATTGTAGTAAACTAATACTTTTAAACGTAAATTACGGGAATATATATCTATATTTTTATTATTTTTGCTACTTTTTCTCTTCTTTTAGTTCACTCTTTCTTACATTTCTCTATTCTACTTTCTATAGTCTCTGTTAGACTGTTATATTAATTTCAGTATTTTTATATACTTATATACGTTTATGTTAGTTACATTATTGTTTCCCTTAGATATACATTTTCCGTTCTGTTTATATTTTGTTGGACTTGGTTTTTTTATTTTTCGCCAACAATTACTTCTGTACTATGTATGATTGACTGGTAGAAAATGACGAATGGTGTTAAGTCTCTCAAATATACCACCTTTTATGTTATGAGCAATTAACTTAAATATTAATAATAATATGTGCGAGATAAAAGCGAGTGATAGAATCTTTAACGTAATTCGAAACTGATATCAAATTGAAAGGATGCTAGATGGTAGTTCTCAAATACAATCTATACAAACTACAGATAACATAATATATTCAAACCGATTGCCACCAAAACTTATAAATAAAGTTAATTCATTAGATTCTATACGTATTTAGTCTTTATTCTATTGAATAAATAGAAAATCATATTACAATTTTGTAATACTGAACATATCAAAATGTGATACTTGATTTTTTATATTAGTAACCTGGTCTTAACTTGAATAACCTCGATCTTAGAGCCGGTAATTACGATTAGAGCAACCTCGTCGAAATATCTACCTTTATTTACCATTAAATTATTCGTGCTAAGACCCAGTTAAAAATATAAGTAATGTGTAATAAACGCAAAAGTTTAAAAATAACTCTATTTTTATCTATAATGGATAAAAGTTCAATAGATGTTAAAAAATTTGTCCTATAAGATAAGATAAAAATATTTTCACCTAAAAACGAGTAGGCTGTATTTTATTTTCAAAATAACTAGAAATCATAATAATTATAACTGTGTGACGTTGATGTAACTAAGAGATCTGTATTAATATTAATATTTAGTTATGGAAATTTACTTTATCAATAACAAAGACTATATTATATATTAAATAAAAAGAAATACCGATATAATAGTTATACCATAAACATTGCATAAAATAAATATCAGCAAAGTCGGTTAACTAGCTATGACAATTGTCAGAGCCCTTTGTGGAAAGCAATATTATTAGCTTAGAGTAGACACAAATGTTAACATTACGGTAAGAGTTTCTCTTCAGACCTACCGCGACCTTGCTTATCAATTTAACCGTTTTTCACAAGACAAATTATGACGGTCCATAATTCAATTATTAATCTTTAAATGGCTTTCTGTTTCTTTAGAAATTAAGAACTGGTGGCATATTTAACCATTGCTAGCAAACTTAGGTACGGTATTTAGTTTATATGGATGTAAAATGTAAAAATATTTGTTAATTTTTGTATTTTTATCTCTTAATAAGCTCATGTACAGGTTGATTTCTAGATTCACGTAAAACTTGAACAGAATATGTATTATAAGTTCACACAAAAAAAGAATTGGATATCGGGAAAACTAGTACACAACTAATACTCAAGTGAATCCTATGTAATACTGAATATGCAGACAAACCCCAGACAAACAGGAGTTTTGCAGGACAGTTGTACAATTGTAAACTATGTAAAAACTAGAAAAATAAAGTTTCTATCCATCTATTTATCTATATGCCGCTTAATAATAAAAGTATCGAAATAATTACAATTTACAGTCTTTGTCATAATAATATTAATTATAGATTGTGTTTATTTCAAACGCTTTAATACAATCTCTTCTTCCAGTGTCAAAAGCAGAGATCCTCTCAGGGCCAGAGTTGTTCGTGCGAGCCGGTTCTGACATTAACTTGACTTGTATCGCAAGACACGCCCCGGACCCGCCAAGGTTAGTAAAAAAGTACTTATAGTTTATAATATTACTTAATACACTAATATTTTTAAACTTAGAATATTAAACAGGGGCCTATGTTTATCATAGCCATTCGTTAAAGCTTATACTCGCTGCAATTTTTTGCTGTCCTGTTTTATTCACGAAAACATTTTTCGCTACAGAGGATAGAGTATTTTTTCATACTGTGCATTATAGTTCCATGTATTTATTTGCTTAATTATACATATGTTATATGTAGAAAACTCGTCTATATATTTATGTAGGTACTTATTATATTATATATAACTGGACCTTATTGGGCACTATTCGACAGTGTAAGTTGTATTATTAAAATATTTAATTAATTACTTTTGAGTACAGTATTGGTAGTTTATACAGTTTTATTATACTATAGAATTAATATAACAAAAATAAAGAAAATAGAAAGATTCTTTTTCATTTTATAATTTGAAAGAAATTAATTTCAAAGAGTTTATTAATAGTTATCATATCAAAACATCAAAGTAAACTGAATAGATTTTAATATTAAAACTACATATATTAATTTTTGAATAAGAATTGTGATATCAAATTTCTTTATTTTTAAAGAAGGGTAGGGCCCCAGTACCTTGAAACCTTGAACTTTTATTTCATCGCTTAAATTATTTCTACAATAATACCTTAATTTCCAAAAGGAAATTTAGACAAGTAGATCTGTTTTATAATAACGTCGTAACCTGTACAGAATTCGGTGATCAAAGGGAATTTTTGACGTAATTCTAAAGCACTTGAATATTTCTATTGTAAACAAACAACAATTCTGAAAAGCGTAGATGATTTTAGAGAGTACTTTCTTAACGGTCATTTGCATATTTTTATGCTGCTAGTAGTTAGCTTATTTACCATTCCAAATATATAATTTAAATTAGTGTAACAGACTAATAGCTTTTTTTTATCAATCAAATAACAGACATCCATCAACAAAGTCTCTTAATGAAATCTAGCATAGTACAATCATAGCATATCCCGTGTACTGTTAAGGAAGTATTAAGAAACTCATGATTATTTTTGCATTCTACGACTACATTGCCTTAACAATTCAAGACATAATAAAAATAAAAAATCAAGAAAATAAAAAAAATAAAAAATTATTTATTATCTTCGATTAGTCACACTTTTATAAGAGGAATAATATACGATTTAGTCTTTCATCAGTTTATCCAATAAAGGTACCATTAGAGTATAGTATTAGATCCGACAGAGCAATCATTATTGCTTTCTTAGACAATAGAAATAGCTTCAAAAACTGGCGATATGACACCAAAACCTACAAATTTGTTAGAAATTCAAAATAAACATGTTGCTAATAAAATTATTTGTACTGGCAATAGCACACCCGTAACTGCAATACACACAGAATAATAATGCCTATTTTCAGTCGTGATGAAAGTTTCCAAGCGTAATGAATTATTATTGTCTGTACAGTTTCATCTACTGGTACCGAGGTGCGCACGTCGTAAATTATGCTCAGCGCGGTGGAATTAGCGTGGAGACAGAACAGCGGACACGTACCAGCCGTTTACTTATAGCACGAGCGTCGCCGAGGGACTCTGGAAACTATACCTGTGCGCCCAGTAGCTCCGGTGAGTTCCGTATATAGCTATAGTATAAATGCAAACTGCATTTTACCCAGTTATAAAATTATTATCTCCTACAGAAATTATATTTATCACTTCACATACGTACGTATATAAACTTAGGTGTATCTATATACTAACATCATACTTACCGGTATCACTTTCACATCTTCAGTGTAATTTAATACTCAATACTAACTTTGATCAGTTTTCTATATCGACTTACGCCTAAGAGGTAGTCAATTATTATATCTGACTCTCCGGTGAAAAGAAACCTCATAACCAAACAAAACGAAATCCAAGAGACGTCGATAGTCTCGCAGTCTGCCACGTATAAAATATACTAATGGAATAACGGTGACTGTTGACTTCTGACTGTCCCATCTGAAAGATTAATTGTGATAATATATTTACATGTGTATTTGTAAGATAAATACAGTTATGACATTACTATACATCGTCTTCATGCTATACAATTTATGTATTAACTTTTGTGTCAATTTATTATTTATTTAATTTTACTGATGAATATCATCAGCAAACTTGCCAGCATAGAATATTTTTAAAATTTATATATTTTATAGTAATCTGTAGAAGAAATTGTATTAATAAATACATACAATAACAATAAAAAAGTAATTTATCCACAATCGTGTACACTATAATAAAGATTTGGAGTAAATAAAAAATCGCATAGTATAATAGATGTCCGTTGAGTATGTACATTTTTCTTAGAGCACTCCTCTCGTATATCTCTGCTCGTAGGTGCGTAAAAACAATTTGTCTTTTTCTGCGCCCTTTTCCCCAAGTCCTGAATCAACGTGGTCGAATCCACTGTTTCTGTTGGGCTCTTATCGCCAATTTGTATTCCTTTCACCCCATTTTTCTCCGGGCTATTGACTTTTCATATAGATTTAAATAAAATTAACGGAATCCTAAAAGGTTTTTTTGCTAGCCCGAAAAAGCAACAATAAGCATAGCATCACGCTCAATTGAATTCGCAATAGAAAATACAAAAGGGAATCTGTTAGCTATAGTAATTTAAATTGCCAGGAATTTTTTACATATCATCAAAATACTGAATGATTACTTGATGAATATTATTTATCAAGAAATCATAGAGTATTTTGTTGGAATAAAGACTCCTCTCTTATATCGGTTACTCTTGATAATTTTTTGTTTATTTTTTTGTGAAATTCGGGAAGTAGTTTCCAAACTTTTCTATATGGAACAAAAAAATAAATTAAAGATGTAGCATGTATTTTAAGATATAATATACTTTTAATTTTTATCTTGGTTTTAATCTGATACCAAATTTCTCTATTTCACATTTCCTTCTACGCTTAGAGATATTTCATATCTTGAATGTTTTATTCATAACAGATTCGGCCTCCGTGGTTGTCCATGTAGTAAGCGGTGAGCGACCAGCTGCAATGCAAAGCAACGCAATCCAGGTGACACCATCACTGACATCACTGATAATTCTTGTGGTAAATTTGAATCAAATTAGATCAATCTTCAGCAATATAATAGAATATATTTTTCTTCTGACAGAAAAGATTTTAAAATATTTCCTAGTAGCTGTAAAATTTTTGTGGCTTAACCGCATTAGAAGATTTATAACGAGATGACCAAAATATGTAAATTAAGAAATTATGATGAATTTTATGTAATAAGTACGAGATAAGAAAATTGTAAGCAAAATCTGATACCGTATTAAGAAACGAATTATTGTAATAAGTATCCCATTATTAGGAACTAATGGTATTCGATTTGCATTGATGTTATTAATGTTTCATCTAACATCAATTGTTTACAATACTAAATGAATATTCCAAATTAAAATACTTATTATTTTGATACAAGATAGAATAAAAATATGTTTATATTTATCACAATGTAACGCTTTGTATGTTAAAAACTCTTTATTATTTTGATTTGGAAAAGTCTCGAAACGATATCATTTTTCTTAAGGTTGTGCTAATATTTCTTGTAAATAATATTCTAATTATTATCATTAATAACAGATCGGCATTAATACTGTTGTAGTTTCAATCTATATAAGGTATTAAAAACACTTTTTTTAAATATACTATATATATCGATAATTTGATGTCTCAATTTCTAGTCCATTTCGTATAGTTTTTCCATATATATATATGTAAAACCTCGGTTACTTTATTTGCATTGAACAGCGTAATAACGTTAATTATAATAGCACTTATTCAATTAAAACCACTGGCAACATAGCATTATACAATATACCTACTGATCTTCTAAATTATTTACACAATACGTCTTTTATGTTCCTATTATAATTATCGTAAATTTTATTATTGTAAAAGCTTTGATATTAGTTATCAGGAAATCATATACGTAAATATAGCCCGGTATTGTGTAAATATTTTTAGTAAGTACAATTTTTTCTTTATATAATCTCTTCTAAAATATAGATTGGGTTTTAGAAATGAATGTTAAAGCTTTGTTTCCGGTTTATTGTAATATCGGAAATAGGTGAAAATTTAAATCTACTGATAAAATGTAAAAATGTTAGTTGGAAATTGTAAATACATTTTGTAAATAAAAACATTTTACGTGTTAACAGTTGTTTTCATTTGAAATTGTTCTTACGAGCAACATATAATGTTTACGAAAGGCATATTAATATAAAATGTCACGAGATAATAGAGAGAGTGGGAAAATTACAAAATAGATATTAGGGACAACAGAAGAATATATTTATATAATAACTTTTGTAGTCAAAAGTTTAGCATTATAAATAATTTAAAGTCAGGTAGTATAAAAAATATGTTAGTATTATAAATAAAAAAAAAATATTTTGTATCTATTTTTTAAATTTATACCTAATAATAATCAAAGGTGATTTCATTTGACTATTGTAATAGTATGTAATATTATGTTATCTGTGGTAATAGTAATGTAAGAAAACGTACTTACCTATAGATACACGGTTACAAATAAAATCAACTTACGAAATGACTTAGGCGCCTACTGTGGAATTGAAATATTATCACGTCATTCGTTTGACGAATGATTTAATATTGCTTGCCAAGAGTTGGGATCAAATGGACCAATGTCTTCGCATTTCCGATATTAAAATACCCGACGAACTTCATTCAGTCCTTTTCACCCAACACCAATATCATTTTTTCCCATTTGGTAAATTGAATCTTATTCTCTATCAAATAAAACTACTATATATACCTATTCACATGACAAATACGAATGATATGAGAATAAGTTATACCATAACCAGCAGCTAGCATTTGCTTTGTACGAGTATACCTACAGGGTATACATAATATATATAACGAAGGTCGTATAACTATTTGCATGTGTTGTACATATAAAAATGGGGCACAAATTCTTAAATCATAGTATAAACGTATCACGAATAAACGGAGAAACAGATAGACGACAATAGCAACATTTTTATACTATTATAGTTGATAATCGATAAATGACACGTCAAAGATTTTAACTATCTTTAAATTTAATATCATAATTCTCATAAATCCCTCTCTTTACTCTATATTCTATTTTTCCTGATATATTCATACTTCCTCTATCTACGAGTATATTTTAACGTAAAGTCATTGCCTAACTACAGTATTCTGTTTATCTTAAAAGTAGGCTATTTTGTAAAGTAATTTAGTAGGTACACAATTGGAAATGTTTTGAAATAGATATTTCATTTCGAAGGGTGGAATTTCAAAACATCTAAAATTACATTAAGGTCGGACTTAAGTAAACTGTAAGAGATTTGATACTTTGATAAACAGACAGATGATAGACAATCTAGATAGCTGTTCGTTAATTATTTGTCAAACGAATATAAATAACATTAAATATAATTTGGAGGGACTATCTGATTCTGTTTTGACTACGGCTATCAAGATACCAGAGGGTCTCCAGAGACATTTAAACGAATCTATATATGGCAGGGTCATTCACATGATATTCATATATTTCTTACATATTATAGAAGTTTCATACTACAGAAGAAAATTGATCATAGCTCATTACTACATTGTAAATTTTTAGATAAATTTATATATAGAAACCATGACATATATAAACAGAATAACTGAAAACCGAGATATGCCAATTTAAATGTACATTAAAAAGTAATAACCAGGTAATGTAAATAAAAACGCATAAATATATTGAAACTAAGGATACTACACTGCCGTGTTAAGAGTTTATTAAATAACTTCTTGCCTTAAATTTTATGTATTAAATTTGACCAAAAAGACATAAATTTTTATTTGATTATGGATTACAATATTTTTTTTAGTCTATAGTCATATATGTATATAATAAAGCACAGATACATCCATTGGAAATTTATAAATTATAAAATTATTCATTTATTCAAAAAAATTATCTGAAAGACAACCCTAAGCCATTGTAAAGATGAGCCCATTCCCGATTAATCCCTTTTAGTAGTTTGGATAGGTTTTACATTAGACTTTAATTGTTCGTTTTAATACCTGTACGTAAGTTCAACTGTCGGGTATTTTTTCTTTTATGTGAGGACCTTTTATAGGTTATAAAATGGACTAGTTGGGTAAAAGTACACTGGAGGATGTAACCTTGGATGAGTGGACCCTAAAGACAGAAACGTAGTTTTAATAGTATACTTACATTTGTGTGAATATCAACGAGGTGCGTGGATGTATTCGTTGTAAATAATTATAAAACACCAAATTGTAAATTAAATCGTAATTATATATATTTATTAATATGTGATATAATTAGCGGTGTAACAAAAATATTGAAGCACAGAAAAACAAATGACAATCGTAATAATTATAACAAAGCGTTCAATATTTAAATATTATGAAGTAAATAATTAAGAAGATTTTAATAACTATTTTTGTTGGAGTTTCCAACATGCTCGCCACGCCAAAGGACTATGGTGATGATACAGTACTTCACAAAACATCTAAAGTTTCACTTCCTTAACACTACTTATGAATCAGATATGTTAACAATATTTATTATAAAATAGTTTTTGTAATGGCAATATATATTAATACAATTAAAATCATAACACCTATTTAAATCAGTGATATCTGAATACAATAATTTTTTTTTATATCTATTAATTGAAATTAAAGAAAAAAATACTGCAAGGATACTTTTCTAAGAAACATTTAAGTATCCATAACATGACATGTACTTACTTTTAAATAAATACAGCAATAATTAACTAAACATTTGCATTACATTGAGTAATACATTCCAACACTTATCATTTATAGACAAAATACATATTTGATATAATTTTAGAGCCTTAACTCTACAGTATCTACTTGAAAACACGTTTCTTTTATTCCAGCCATAAATAATTTTCTTTTTATTTAAAATAAAGTATACATTTGTAAATAGGTTGTATATAAATTATGCCATTGACCAATACTTTTGACTAAGACTTGAAAGTATACATTTTGGACTGGCATAAAATAATGTACTAAATTAAAGCTTAGTTATTACCGATTGAACCCGAGACTCTACTTTATTATACATCAGCAACTTTGTACTGTGATCTGTTTTGGAGTTCGTTGATGATCTAATACTGAACCACCAATAATATATCCAAAACGTGTATTGATGATACGGGATGTTAGTTCATCAGAATTAGACAGTGGCCGGTGCAGATGTCGAGTCTGAGATGGTTCATACTCGTTGGGTATTACCACATTGAAGAATATGTTGGCACCCATTAGCAGATCTATTTCAGATGGAATGTTAAACTGATTATCAGCTAATATAATATTTGGGGGTAATTTTAATTGGCTAATTTCAGGTTTCGTTTATTTACATGTAATTTTGTCAACCACATGAAAATTACCTGTCATATTAAAGGAAGAATTGACTGAATGTACATTTAATGGAATACTACATTTAGTATTATTCTGAGTATTGCCTACACCAATTATATTTGTATTAATTGGTGTCGGATATTGCTGGACTAACTTGCTCGTAACGAGGGAGACCTGGGAACCAGTGTCTACAATTGCCTTCGCTATTATCGTTTTTTTATTCTTACTGAATAACTTTACTTGTACGGTGGGAAGTAAAACATTCGTGTTATATAAAGAAACTGGAACCTTCATCGTGGTGAATCAGTAGTTGTGCTGTTTTTTACATGATTACAATAAAATGAAACTTACAACTATGCTTATTTAAACAAATCATGCATAGATTGTTAACTTTACAAAATTTATATCGGTCTAAAGAAGTTCTTAATTTAAATGACTTACATGAAAACAATTTGTGGCTATTACACTTACAATAACGACATGACATCGTCTTGGTACCAGCAGCTATTACATTAACAGATAAACAGCTTTTTGCCTTCGTGTATTGCGCTGTTGTGGACGGCGCAGCGTTCTCCAACGCGAGTGCCCTCTTTTCAAGGTACTCAATGAAGTTATTGACGCTGTGCTCTTCAGCAGCATCCCGTTCAAGCTGGTACGACTGAGCCGTGTAAGAATCTAACTTACGATTAAGAATACAAATTACTATTGGATCCCAAGTTTCAATCTTCACATCGAGATTTTGTAGAGCTACTATACTTTGCTTAAGATTAGCTACAAAGTTTCGGAAAGTCGACTTAACAAGGGCAGGTAAATCTAACAATTGGCTAATGTGTTCATTAATAATACGATACCTATTATTATATCTATCCTCTAGCAACTGTCTAGCCTTATCATAGCTATTGGCTGTCAATGGCAAGTTCTTAATTAAATCGTAAGGTTCATTTTTTAAATTAAGATAATACAGCTTTTGAATATTGTCTAAAGTAGAATCATTATGTATTAATGACGTATAAAAAGAGCTTGAACAGGCTATATATTCTATATAATTACCTGTAAATATAGGCATTTCAATAGCAGGTAATTTTGTCTTCGATCGTGTAATGTTACTAAAATGTCCTTTAATGTCATTACAAGTTGTCTTGCGATTAATTGCTTCGCTGAGAATAGCAACAGAATATAAATACTTGTCCTCCACAGCCGCGACATCCTCGTCATCCTCTGGTTGTATTGAGAGAATTCGCATATTAAACGCTTCATACTCGCGGAATGCAGCGAGGAGTCTCTCTCTACGAGTTGTACTTTCTTCTACTTCAGAAATATCGAGAACAAAGTTGTGTACTCGCGTAATCGCTGCCTTTACATATCCTCGAGAAGCACGCAATGATGGTTCTATATCAGTAGCCATTGCATATATATTTATATAAAATCCAAGAATCGTATAATATTGTAAATTGCACCAAAAGTTATAATATATATTGTTAATTAGTAATTATGTAGGTACAAATTATAAATTGCACAAATAAAATCATGTAATAGGAAAATGTTCACATATACTATTTTTGTGAAGGTTGTCACTTCAACTTTGTAATATATATTAACTTGACGGTATTCAGTATTACTTGCAGGTCAACTGTTACTCGCTTGCCGCCGTTTGACAAAAATAATTTCTATAGTCGATGACTTTCGGAGAAATATTGTTTGTAGGCTAACAATATTTAATTGCCTGTTGAATACTCGTAGAATGAATCGGTTTGCTTCAAAATCGATTTTTACACCTTTTTAATTACAAATGAATGGCGTTTCTTGCATCCACGTATGTTGCGTTGGGATTATTGTACTCGCTGTTTCTTACCTTACGATGCTCGAAATGGACCAAATTTTGTGTGATTCTCAACGAATTGCGTGGATGTATTCGTTGTGAATAATTATAAAACACCAAATTGTAAATTAAATCGTAATTATATATATATTTATTAATATGTCGATATAATTAACGGTGTAACAAAAATATTGGAGCACATATAAAACAAATGACAATAGTAATTATTAGAACACAGCATTTTATATTTAAATATTATGAAGTAAATAATTAAGAAGATTTTAATAACTATTTTTGTTGGAGTTTCCAACAACATTAATGAGACTTTAGGATGATTTTAACAACTTGACTGTAATATTTAATTTATTTAATCTAAATGCTATGCTGTAAAAAGTGTAAAAAGCTGTTGTAAGTTACTACTAACAAATTACTGCTATGCTGATATACTTTCTAAAATAGTTCGGATACGACGCAATTTGTCGTATAAATAGACAGTTTAATTTTTTTTCTAATTGAGTAGGATCTATTGAATAGTGATATTTAATGTATACATGTAAATAATAACAATATAAGTAAATATACCTAACTGCTATATAGTTATAGGCTATCAAAATTATCTTATATTAATAAAACGAATAGATCCAACGACTAAATTATAGACATTATGAAGAAACGATCGATAGCAGTCTTTATTGAGCTGGTAGAATCATAAAAAAGAGCATTTTGCAATATCACAAGAGAGACCACTTTTATAGTGATCTGCGCTACCTTATTAAGTCAGCGTCCGACCCTTTTACCCGGCCCTCGAAATATTTATGAAAGTGAAAATGTCCTTAAATGCACCTGTTTACCCTATAACAGGATATTTTACTGAATTGGAAAGGTAGAATTGTGAAAAATTACTGAAAAACAAATTGGAGTTAATTACTTCTGAATTTATTACTGTCGTTAACGTTTTGTTGCCATTTGTGAGAGTGAATTCGCTTTTTGTTCGTGATACGATATTTCGGTTCCCATTATTTATGATCGTTAGGCTTTTTGTTAAATAAAAATAGAATTATTTCTAACGATTGCCTCTGAACTTTATATTTCTTACTCAAAAGTTTCATTCTTTGGAAATGCAATAAAATACAATTGAAACCTTTGTATTGGATCTTAAGCGACTTGGCTCTTATAAAATGTTTCAACACACGATGTGTAGATATAGTATAAGATATATTATAGTGTACCTACATATATTATGTGTAGTTTATAATAAACATTCATTATTGTTATAGTAGGACACTCTATCAGTGACATGATTTATACTTACGGTACAGGAAATGTTCGTGATATTCCTATAGATATTACTTCATTTTGAATAAACGCTACTATACCTCAAAATATTTTCGAAGTCAAAAGATGTCATAATAATATAGCAATCATAATAAAAATTTGCTCCAGAAAGCAGCTCGACGTATTAGCATACATACGGCACACTCACACATACCGTCAATTTATGGCCATGTAATATCGGGACAATTGCCATCTGAAGGAAACGAGACTGAGGGAATGTTACTACCTCGTCTCCTAATTTATGAGACGTAATATTAGAACTCAGGCCGGCGCCGTCTCTTAACTTTCACCTGAGCTTGCTCGGCACTCCGCAGTACACACGGCTTTAAGAACATAATCTTTATTACCAACGGGAGTACTTACAAAGAGTTCCTTTATTTTATTCCCGGTTGCGGTGTAATATTTCCTTCTATATCAAATATGCAGAAATCTCTGAGCGGGACGAATATGTAATGTTTCTTTAAGCCGCGTCGCGCCACGAATCTCTTTTCTTACTTTTTATCCCATTGTACAATATGCAGAATTTCATTTGTGGGATTCCAGTGCGTTTCATCAGCTGTTGCATAAATTATTGATTGCTACTCCCCGCCACGTCGCGTATGAATAATTAATTTATGCTGGTGGCTTCATTTTAAAATATTGAGCTGTGGTTTCATCTTTACTTTCGAGCCAACTGGTTTCAACACAACAGATTTTGTGTTGGTATTTCGCTGAAGTAAGTAGGCTGATTTAATGTATTTTCCGACGTGTTCATTAGGATGATGACGGAGTACAAAAAAGGCTTATTCATTGCTTTGACTCGTTTTTTTTTCGAATTGCTTTCTTTTGTCATTGAAATTGGTTGATTCGTCTTACAATAATGACTTCATTAGCGGACGCGTACCGATTGTTGATTTTTAACCCACTTCTATATTTGTGTACATTTCAAATAAAATAAATTTTAAATACAAAATCACACTATATTGCAAATTATATAAGTTTTATATCCGTATTTTATGTTATGATTTGTTTTAATTAGATTAGGAAAATATTTTGGTTAAATATTAATTATAAGAAGTCAATGAAACATGATCAATAAAATAATATGGTCTCTAAATTTTAATTTAAAATATGCATATTACTTGGCTCCCCATATACACTTATTTCTTTATCAAATAAAGATTAGATTACACTTGTTATTTCACAGCTTCAAGCACATTCAATGTTTTATAATATATACAAACTCAGTTTTTCAGCGCCCTGATAGTATCGCTAACAATATTATCAGGGCGCTAAAAACAGAGTAAAACGAACCCCCTGAAGGTAAGCGCGAACTATCGCCTATGCATTATCATGTGACGTGCGTAATGCCACTTATATGTTACCGGAGGACTAAGGTATCTTCCCTCCTCCTATCAACAAATTTAATTCAGTAAATTTACTGCCCTTCAGATCAAATTACTGATTATGTAGGCTACTTGGTGGTTGCAATAGGTGAAATAGGTATCCGTGACTGACTATGTACAAAATCTACCTTGGTACGAGTAAATAGTACGAGCTTGACTATTCTAGGTATATATATAAATAAGTAAGTACTTACCTAATCAAGAATTTGTAGTCGCTTCTGTAAGAGGTTTACTCTGTGGAGTTTGTTTTATTACTTGTTAGAACGTGCCACTTCTTATCATGAAATGAGGTTGTATACTTATCTGTTTCTTTCATTTATAATAAAATTATGGTGGAAAATAAGTTTGTATTGTAAATGAAAAATAAACATAATTAGTTAAGGATAATTATAAGAAATATTAAGAATATTTATATATTAAGAATAAGGAAATCCATTGGCAACAAAAACATTAAACGTTTCTTCAAAATTAGAAGCATTTATTAAGCAAATCCTCTTAAGAGAAAACTTGCATGGAGTTGCTGAACAATAATGGGTTGTTATGATCAGGATAACCGAATAATGTATAGATTATTTATTTGTTTTACTTACGTAGTTGATTACTTCGTCGCAAATGAATGATACTGCGATCCCGCTACTCCATATAATAGGCGCTTCATCGAAATACCTTAGAGTTTTTAGTTAGTAGGAGTCTCACTATATCCATTCGCCTCCCCAGAGAGAGCGTATCCATGGAGATTTATTCAAAGAAAAAAAATGGCTCTGAACGCAAGTTGAATTTATCTGACTTTGACTGACTTGAAATAATACCTATTTAATGTCATATTCTTTCCATACATACATTTTATAGATATGAATATATGTAGTATACTAAGTTATATTTAGTAACTGCTTAAACTGTAGCAATTTACACCTACTTTAGCAGCTACGAACTATGTCACTTCAGAGTTCCAGGTATAATTATAGAGGTAAAACAGGAATGAGACATTGCAACTATTGTTCATAACATTGTGACAGAATTTAAGCAGAGGAACGTCACGTTACATTGTTGAAGTTATACAGATATACCTAATTAAATTTTCATAGAACAAGCAGTGTTAATTTTTGTCCATTATAAATATATCCAAACTCAATTCAAGTCTTCAAGACCAAATTTTAATTAAGTATTTAGAAATATGTATTATTATTAGATCTTTTAGTAAACTGAGCTGTATGATTATAACTCATTAATCTATAATATGATTATGCACATAGCTTATCCATATTTTCTATACAATAAGAATTAAAAAAATATAAAATTAAATAGAAATAATGTAATTTTAATTTAAATCAATTTATTTATATAAAGAAAAGCATTATCATTGTTTGTTCTATTTCCGCATTTGTAAAAAGAGCACTGAGAACAAAAGTAAAATTTACTAAATCGCTACGCATTATCATAAATGATAGGTAATTTATATAAAGGGGAAAAATTTGTTTAAATTTTTGTTACAATATTTTTAAGGTGTGGGAAGTTAAGTTAGAAAATATATTTCCATACGTCTATGTGGATTTAATACATATCAATGATTACTCCTTGTATATAAAACGACACTGAGACATGGTCAATGGCATTGTTGCAGTACATAAAACTAATAACAGTACACACATTGTATGTTAAGTTGTTAACAGATAACACTGTGGCGTAAAATAAAAAAAAATGTTTATATTTTACTGTATTTTATGTATGCCGAAGGTGCAATTAAATGACTTATCTATCGAATACAGATAGTTAAGAGGAACATAGATCATATATATAGAGTGAGGAGTACTGAATTCTAATGAATATCATATCTTATAACAATACTATTTAAATGGTAAGAATAGA